CAATCAAACTCTAATCAAATTCCAACAAAAATACAATCAAATTGTAAATCAACTCTCAAATTTATTAACAATTGAGAATAAAAATTGAAAGAAGAATAAAAAAACATGAATCCAGCATTGAAACAACAAGGCTTGGTTCATCGAAACCCAGGCTGGGTTCGGGGAAACCCAGGCTTGGTTCGGGGAAACCCAGCCAGGCTGGGTTCGTCGAACCAAACCTGCTCGATCTCGTCAGAACCCAGCCTGCATGGTCTCGTTGCAACCCAGCCTTGCTGGGTTCGGGGAGACCTAGCCAGGCTGGGTTCGACGAGACCCAACAAGTTGGGTTCGTCGCAGCCATCGGAATCCAGCCTGGTGGAGACCCAGGGTAGGAAGGAAAGAAAGAGAAAGAAAGAAAGGGAAGAAAAAGGATTGGGAGGGTGAAGGTAATTAGGTAATTTTATTTGTTTTTATTTAAAATATAAATATTAATCTATGTGGTATATTTATTTATTTATATAACATAATTAAAATATATATTATTGTCACATCATCAAAAAAATTAAAAGATAATGCTAGATCATACTTAACTGACGGAAGGACCAAAACTGTATAATTTTTAAAGTCGAGGGATCAAAAAAATGCAAAAATTTTGTTGAAAAATAAAAAATTTGCATTTTTTTAAGTTGAAGGACTAAATTTAGCATTTAACCATTAAAAAATTCATCTGTGCATGACCACGCCCGTTCAGAGTGTGATATATATATTTAGAAAGAGCGTGGTATTACTAGTGTTTACAGCATAAATTGCAAAATTTTAAATTAATGCCACGTGTAAAATTTTTATTGGTTGGAGGAGTTTGAGCCATGTCAGATTCGGATTCTAGGCCTCATGACAGATCAGCACATGTGTTGGCAAGATAGGAGGGGTAAAGATAATTTTTTATGGAGTAATTATCTTCTTGAAACAAAAAGGGATAATGACAGCTGGAAAATAGGAGAAGATTGCAGTTAAAAAGGGGGTTTTATCTGATAAGAGTCCAAGTGGCGAAATCTGTAAGGGGATTAGACTAGGTCAAACGTGAGGTGTCCCACTACTTCAAAAAACCACCCATGATTGAGTAACTGCAGAAAGTGGAAGTTACTGCCGGCACATGGAGAACAAAAAGGAAATTTTGGAAGGAAGAACGGACGGCCAGCCCTACTCAAACATCTGCAAATTTTCATACTTTAATTTTCTCTGCACATGCTTCCAAATTTCGGATTTCAGCACAGATTCCATTAGAATTAGGTTGTTTTTCATCATTCCAGTAGACAAATTAATTCCTATATTCAATTAAACAATTTCCTTTCATGCAATGAACTTCAATCCTTCAAGTTTATGCAAGGTATTGTTTTCTTTTCATTTGTAATTAATTTAATGTTTATGATAAGTAGGATTTTATTCAATGATTACTTATGTGGTGTTCATACCTCTTTTCAACCTCAAGCATAATAGTTTAATTACTGTTCACGTTAATTTTAATGTTAATTAAGATGAAATCTTTAATTCTGCAACGTGTTAATTTCCAGATCTGCCAGTACATTGCATTTTAATTCAACAATAAACATGTTTAGTTTAATTTGGGTACAGCTTTTTCTCGCAAATTTACTTTAAATTGCAGGTAATTGAGAATAATTAGGATTTGTTAATTTTAAATCACGATAGTGTTTAAGTCATTGGAGTTGTCCAAGGCAGATTTCGTAACCCATTCTGCAAGAAGGTATCCCTCCCTCTTACAAATCGTCTGAAGGCACAAATTACATTTTAATCCAACGTTCTTCCCGCCATCTACGAAGAAGTCGACCGTGAGAAAAGAGAGGATCGTTGGAAAAATCCTCCTTTCTTACTTTCAGCAAAGTAAGTGGCACATCCGCATCCAAATTTATACTTGCGAAGTCACTAGAGAATTTTTTAAGAAACAACTATAACATATTTTTTTTCCAAGGCAAAAGCTAAAAAGGAAAAAGTTTATCGTCGATTCCGATGCTGTAAGCATCAGAATAGGTCCCACATTTTCTTTGAGTCACGTGGTCGAGAAAACACGTGGAAGTTACTTCGATGTGGACTAGGAGGCTGCCTATCGTAGGCCGAGCTCAATGATTTGTAAAGCCCATCCGTTAGTGGGCCCAATATCTTCTGGGCTCCGGCCTTTCTTTAATTTAACAGTAATGTTTTTATAAATTCTTTTGCCTTAAAATTATTATATAATTTAAATTGTAAGACGTGATTGCCTTCTTTTATTTGTTTATTTTATTTTATTTTTTAAAAAACCTTATTTCTTTTGTAATAATAACTAAATGATATTTTTTATAAATTATATTTGTTGACTATTTTCATTCAAGTGTAACTTATGAATTAGTATAGATTTACTGATTTGATGTCATAAATATTTTTTGGCAAGTATTATTATGAGGATAGATTTACTCATTTAATATACAAAATATTTATCGGCAAAAGTCGCTTGATAATTTCAATATGGAAGACAGAAAATTGAGCCAAACTCAATTGCAAGTATGATAGGATGCAGGGATATAAAGTGGAAACCGGCTGCATTCATCATCGAACACAGAATTCTAACTGACCTTTTTCAGTTTCTGAATGTCTGGAGGCTTGCAAATAGCCAGTAATGTGTCTCATTTCACTGTGGGGTATCTCTGAGATTTAAAAATGTTTAACAAATATATAATTTATCAGAGGTAAAAGGAGAAAACGTCACTCAATCAATCAATATAGATTAAATAGTTTTGCATTTCGTTCTTTGTAGCAGCAACAAATTGCGGCTTGCATATAGAGAGTTACTGAATAAATAAATTTATCTTTTATTATTAAAAAAAAAAAAAAAACGTCAATTGAAATTTATAATTAAAGTTGGCCAAAGACTTTGATGTTAGATCCACACGCTCGAATGGCTTAAATTTTAAGTTAGTGTGGATCACTCTTTGTAAATTATGTGTTTAAATCATATATATTCCACATGACGCTTCTGATTAAGCTCAAGTCCGAATCCTTCTCACTCTCCCATCACTCATAGTTTAACTTTATTCATAATATATATAGGAATAGTATTTCTCTATCTCACTTCTTAAATATTATAAAGAGTATTATTATAAAATTATGTTATTTTAATAAATATTTATTTTTTAAAAACACTTTAATTTTTTTTGGATTATATTTATTTACTATTTTCATTTGAATGTAGCGACTGAATCAATATAAATTTATTCATTTGATATTGTATGAATATTTATTATCAAGATATAATTGTCAATTATTTTACATTGTAAAAAAATGACAGAGCGAGAAAGAGAATTCAATGTTTCTTATTTTCTAGTCATGTTCAATCCTTAAATGTTGTTCATCAAACATTTTTCTTTATCTTCGCACAATGTTATTATTGTATTTCAGTCACAAAATTCAATAAAAACAATAATTAATAAATTTATCAAAAAATATTAATAAGAAAATATCACTGAATAAGTGTGAAAATTTT